CCCCCCTCCGCTTGCGCCCCCGAGCCCTTGGCCGAGCCCGGCGCCGGCGGCGCCTTCTCCCCGGCTTTCTCGGCAGCGACGTTGTTGCACAACCTCTGAGCGCTTTGCTCGGCTGCGAGAGCCGCGCTGCCAAACTCGGCCTTCGCGTTTCCTTCCTCACTGCCCGCCGCCTGGCTGGGATCGGAAAGGGATTTCGAGGAATGCTTCTCTTTGAAATTAGCGTCTCTCGCTAACTTCTTCCCCTTCTGCCGCCTGTCGCGGGAGGCGGAAAGGGCCTGCTCGCCCGCTGCAGGAGATCTGCTGTTGACGCCTGCAGCCTTTAAGCCCTTGGCTTCCATCTCGTCAGCCAAGGCTGTTTTCTCCAACTGCGCAGGCTCCACGTGCTGCTCCCTGTCCTTCCTCGGGCCTCTCTGGTGCAGAGACGGAAAGGGGATAGTTTCGGGTTCCTGAAAGGTTCCTATGCTAACGTTCAATTCTGTGCTCGACGAGCTGTGCGCGTGGGCGGCCACTTTAGCGCTTCCTCCCGAGGAAAAGCCGTGAGCTGAAGCGTCCGGGTCCTTCGAGGGCAGCATTTTCGCCTTCTCTCCCTTGGCAGGCGTTCCTTTGGCTGCTGCATCTGCAGCGCCAGGCTGTTTGGCTTCTGTGCACTGAGGTGCATCCAGCTGGTAAGCCTTACTTCCCCCTGCGGCCGTGGCTTTCTGGGAGCCCATGCTGTTGGAGCAGCTTTGAGCTGGGGCACTCGGAGTGCCTGAATTCCCTGAGCCCGCAAAGCGCTCGGTGCTTTTTACACTCAGTTCCTGCTCCGCAGAGGACCCCACGCCTGAAACTGAAGACACGCTGTGCTTGGAGTAAGTGTTCCCGGCCCTCGGGGGCGAAATCATCCGCAGTTTGGACTGCTGCTGGGACAAAGAGGAGGTGCTATGTCTCCTGGAACCGATGCTCTTCAGCCCAGAGGACAGTAGAGGGTCTCCCACTGTCACTATTTCATGGGTCACGGGTGTAGGACTCCCTGGGGAAAAATAAGGCAAGAAAGACTGTCAAGCGATCTGAATTAGTCACAATTTATATATGCGATTCCTTCACAAACACGAGAAATTATAAAAACCTTTGAACCAGACAGTATTAACATCAGCCTGATATGTGAGTTATGTATTCAAAGTCAGCTACTGCCCCTCAGCGTTCACTGGGCAGAGGCGAATACCCCGGCGTTCTGTGTCGCGACTTCAGGGGCGAATGTCACAAAAACATTTGCAACAAAACATGACTTCTGTAGGAGGAGTAGGTGACTTCAAATACTGGACTTTCCATTCTCCCCAGGAAACTTAGAGAGCGAAGCAGCAACTCTTGGCCCATCGCTTCTGCATTAGGGCTAGAGTTGTGCCCGAGTCTTCCTTTCCTCATCCCAGGCACAGCTTTGTTTCAGTTGTGCATTTCCTTACTGGGGCATTTCCCAAACTTGATTTCCCAAACCTTCCTTCCCTTAAATCTACTGCCATTTTCATGGTTTTCACTACAAAGAAAGAGAAAACTAATCCCCATGTGGAGGAGGATGAAATCTACTGCCATTTTCATGGTTTTCGCTACAAAGAAAACTATTCCCCATGTGGCGGAGGATGCCTCAAAACAAAGCCAAAAAGGAAAAGTGCCAAAAGCTTAACAGCAATCCAAGCCAACAGCCCTTGCAGAAGGCAATACCTGCAGAAGGCAAAGGCCTAGAGCCGGGAGACCTCTGCGCCGATGGATAACTGGGGGTCCTGATCCGAGGAGCCTTTGAGGCTACTGGGTAGTAGCTGGAGCCGGGCGTCTGAGAATGCAGGGGACGGTCCGGGGACGGCGGGCTCACAATTTCAGGTGTATTTCTGCTGTCTTTGGAGAGAGTTTCTGCAACAGCACAAACGAGAAACGAGAACATAAGCCATCACTGAATCTTACAGGCCATGATCTGCTGGAGTACACCTTGTCATTACTTTTCCCTCAGGGAAATTAAACATCTCTGTTAAGTAAACACAAGCCCAAAGACTATTGCTTCCTTGCAATCAGATAATGTCTGCTTTCCTCTTCCTAAAGAATATTTTCAAACATTTATAGGAAGAAGCATGGTTAGCATAGGAATCATAACAAGCTTTGTGGCAGGTTCTTTATGAACTGCACTTTGCCTTGGGATAACGACATCTTTGACTTTCACGAACACCTGTAACACTAACAACAACAAACAAGTCTCCCCCACCTCTAAAGTCCCTCATGCTCTGTCTTTCTGCTGAGGATCACCACCACCAAAGGCATGCCCAGAACATACCTTCAGGAAGCCCTTCCACCTTACCTGCGGGAGGTAGGGGACTATGAGCAATGGTTCTGTTATCGTCGTGCTCTACGGTGCTGTTGATGTCGGGTTCCACGACAGGGGGTCGGCACTCCATGATCTTGCAGGTATACACGCAGCGCTTGCGCGCGTCCGTCGTGCTCCAGTACACCCTCGAGCACCTGGGGGCATTGCACACACAACCATGTAGCCAACGGCCGAGCAGCCCTCAGCGTCTGGAGCTTTGCAACGCTCAAAACGAGAGGTGGGAAAGACTTAGGACACAACGTGCCGCTCCCCCAGCTTCAGCACAAGGTTCTGGGGCAGCTTATGAGGGCTGCAGCCAGTCTGCAGGGAAGCTGCCTCTGTGCCAGCGTGGCATCTAATTTGGTAAGAGAGGATGATTCATGGAAAAGCTCATACTCACTGATAGCCGATGGGAAACAGCTTGTCCTCACAGTCCGAGAGGTCATTGAGAATTCCTAAGCAGTCTATAGTCATCGACCCTGAGCAGAAAGGGGCACAGGAAACGCTCTGTGAGCAGCACAACCCTGACGCCAGGAAAGATGGAATGAGCGTTCAGAGACTCCATCTTACCAATCATCATATGGATGTTCTCCGGTTCCAGGCCGCTAAGAAACTTCCTTCTCAGACTGATCCCTTCAAAGTCCACAAAAACCCTCCTAAGAACTTCAAATCCATTCTCAGGAACCACCTGCAACACGAACCCACAAATCACCTCGTTAATGCTAAAGGAACCATTAGGCAATGCTTCCTTCCTATGTGCCATGAGGTCCTGTTTGGTCTGTAACGTGGCAGTTCCAAGGGCCCCTGTGAAATCTTCCCACCTTAGCTATAGCAGCACCACAGGCCGGCCCTCGTTCCCAAGGAACATGCTCAACACTGACTTTTAAAGACTGTTTATGGCTACAGCCATCCTAACCCTCAGGCCAAGCAGGGTATAAGAGAACAATCTCACCTCTCCTTTGATCAAGTCACGGTGCCTCTGGCAGTAAACTTTCTTATCATCCAGAAAGACACAGTTCTTGGCTCGTGAGCACATGAAGTGGTAGTTACTCGTACAGGAAGTGAGGCAGCAGCCTACCGTGGCACCTGACTTCTGGCAGAACTCGCATCTCTGCAAAAGGGAAAGGAAAAGCTTAGATGTGGAGCCCACAAGCTCCCTTAAGCGTCACACTGAGCAAGTGCGAAACAGAATTCCAAGCCTCTTCAGTCAGTTTTCCCAAAGGCAAGCAAAGCAAGGAGGGGGACAGAGCAAAGAGCAACATCAACAACAACAAAGCCAACACAGGAGGAATATTTTAGATGGTTTCCAGCCTCTGTTTGGCGCAGGCAGTTTAACCAAGAGTTATACCCACCAGCTGCTTTCCCCTGATCACAGCCATATGCACGTTTTTCAGGGAACCATCATCATCCTCAAATACTTCTGCCGACCATAAAGCACAGTTCACGTGTGTCCATTCGTTCTGGCCAATATAGAGGAGACGCCCAGCATCCTGAAGAACATAAAGCAATATTATTTTCCAATGTTTTGCAGACACAACAATGCACAAAGGGACCCGGGGGTTTGTCTGTGCTGCATTTGAACTCAGCCCCAGAAAAGAACCCCTGGCTCACGAGGGAATCACCCCCACGTGCCAGTTCCCAGTGTTAAGGCTGAAGGGCCATCGGGCAGAGGGGACTACGACCAGGGCACCCAGAGCAGAGACAGGTACTCACGTTAGCGCTGTCGTCCCCGTATTTCAGGCACAGCGCACACTGCCGGTTGTCTTCCACATCTGGGGGTGGATTCAGTTCAGGACTGTCCTCTCTGCTCCGCTCAGAACCTTACAGTCAGAAGAGAGAACGCTGCTTATTCTTGAAGGTGAGGGAGGCAAACACTTCTCTGCAAAAGCTGCAGCAGGTGAGCAAAAGCAGAAGGGCCAAAGAGCACCCTAGAGTTTCAATAACGAGCTGTAAAGCAAGGAAGTGCAGGCACCAGCCTCTGCACTGCCCTCGTCTGCGGGAAGAGAGGCACAGGAACACGTATCTGCAGGCCCGAGCGCAGCCCCAGGAACCCAGACAACTGCTGGAGCTTAGCGTTATCCTGTGCTCCCAGTGCCCCTCCTAGCCAAGCTCCTGGACATGGCAAAGCCTCTCTGACAGAGGGACCAGTGCGCGGACACAGAGCCCTGCGCAAGGCAGGACACAGAGCCCTGGAGCCTTTGCCCCCTCCTGTAAGCACGAGGGGAAAAACGAGCAGTTACAGGAGGGAGAGGGGAGGAAAGAATCGTCACTGCCAGGCTGATCTGTCCTGTGAGAACCCCTTCCTCTACAGCTACTGCTCCCTCGTCATATCCAGAGGTTCCCTTTCTTTTTTTGTCGTTTTAGTTCTTTTCTGTGTGTGTGTGTGTACGCCTGCCCAGACCCACTGCCATGCATATTTGTATTCCTCCTTTAATTCCGTGTCACGCACTGTCCCTTCATTCCCGCTGCCGTCTCCGCTACCTCCCTTGCTTTTTCTGCAGCCTCCTCCCGGGCTTCCTTCGCACGGCTCTGCGTGGCATTCTGCACGCGCTGTGCGTGGTACCACACAGTTAACAACCCCAAACGCAGCCAGGGCCAGGCGCTCAGCTCGCTGGCCGACCCTGCAACACCTCACACGCAGAGGTGCGACACCTCGCCCACGGCACGCAGGCAGCAGAGCCCTTCCTTCGCTGCTGGCAAGCGCTCTGGCTATCGCCGCCGCAATCTGTTTCCTTACTGGAGATGGGTGGCGTGGGCGGGTGCAGAGGAGTCGGTGAATCTGGCTCTCCCGGCCCTTTGGGCTTCGGAGCTGGGATGATCTTCTTCATGAGAGGGGGCTGCTCCGTGCGTCTGTTCTCTCCCCGCCCCTGCCACTGAGCGTAGTTGTGGTCCAGCGACGGGGGCAGCACCGCGTTCGGCAGCATCCCGCTGCTGGAGAGGCGACGCGGAGGCAGCGTGAGCGCCGGACGCGGCCCGCCCGGCCGCCCGCCTCGCGGTGCCGCCCCTTCCCGCGGCAACAGACCGGACGCACAACTGCTACTTACTTGCTCGTGACTTTATTCGGCTCCCAGAATCTGGATTTTTTAACGCTGAACCATGGAAAAACACGCTCCATTTGCTGAAGGGAAACAACACGCAGTTAGAAATGTTATGCAACATACCTAAAAATCCCAAGAATTTCAGCCAAGATTCACTGCTAATGTATAGCTAGCAAGATTGCATTAAGAGCTCTGAGAAGGTATTATTAAAAATCTTGGAAATGCCCAAGCAACAAGGAGTGATGGACCTTGTGGATTCCAAGAGCAACATAAACAGTGAGATGACAGAAAGCACATTTCAAAGTAACTGCTGTCCTGCTCACCCGAATAAAGAAGGACTTGACCATGCTATTGGCTTTTTTAACTTCTGGCTGCCCTCCATCCGAATTAATGGCTGCTTGAATTATCTTCACAATATCATCACTAAATTCCAACTATAAAAGAGCCACAAAATTTCATATCAGCAGGATTGTCTCTTGCACAGCTATACCCGCCCCCCTCTATTTTTTAAGGCATCAAACGGACCTCTTGATGACTAGAGCACCGATGTATGCAGAAAAAGAATTTGGTAGTAAAAAGCAAGGAGCTGGGGGTATTTGCAAACTGACTCGCTGAACTGCTGAACAAACACAACCGTAATTGCTCGTTGCCTCCTTAAATCTGAATTTGCCCACTGACTTTCGCTCCAGCTACCTGCCATGCTTGGCCACAGCCTGGCGCCAGCGTGTTGGCAGTGATGCTCTGCAATACAGACTTGGCCTTCGGGTCACAGGCTTGGGACAGAGAAGGAAACAACTGGTCCCCACAGCAAAAACTGACTCACTTCTTATTAGCGGTTTGTGCAAACCGCTCCTGAAGAGATTAAGCCTCCAAACAGGAATTATTAGTTTCCAGATAAGGGACCGTCATCTGTGTCATTTGCCTTGGCTTTTTGTCGGACGCTGCACATAAGACGTGACCTAGATCCTGCTTCCCTGGGCACAAACGCTTGGCTACGAGTAGAGGTGCTTTAACCAGGTACCCCCGTTGGGTAAAGGTGCTCGTACAGCAGCGTGATTTACGTGTGTTTGGGCCAATATCAACAGGAGTGCCAGGCAGATTTGTTTTTAGTACCCCATTAACCCGTTTCCTTGTTCACAAAGAGAAAGCTTCAGCGTGCTCAGCCACAAGTAAAGCAGTTCACAGGATGTATTCTAACTGGAACAAAACTGTAAAACTCTGGCATACCACAGACGTGTAACCTCCTTGATCCATCTTCCTTTTCACTCCTTCCAGATCGAGAGGTTGCTGCTCCTCCTGCTTGCTGACTTCGGTCAGGACAGGAGGGTCCGGACCCTCAGGAGAGCTCCTAGACGGGATACTCTCTTCCGTCTCGGGATTTAAATCCGGCGGCTTGGCTGCCTGTGCACGACAACAAACCAACAGTTGCTCGTTTGGAACCGGAGCGCGGCTGCTGCTCACAACGCGCTCTCCTGCGCGCCCGCTTTCACCTTAACTCTCAACACGGCGAAAGAAGGGGGAGTCCAAGCCCGTGTTCCCCTCCAACACGCACAGCGACACTCACAAAAAGACACAAAAGCAGCTTTTTGCTGCCGACTACACAGCAAGGCAGACAGATCGGATACAAATTTTCAACTCGTTTTTCAGGGGTCATATTTCTGAATATGTATTTCAGCCGCCTCCTCTTCTCTCAAAGAGGTGCTTTCACCCCAAACCTGCCTATTCTTTCAGCTATCCTATTTTTTTTTGTCCTCAGAAATCACACCACAGATACCCGAATCTATAAGTTTTCATAAGAAAGAACAAAAGAAAGAAAACAG